TTCGCTTTGCCTGTAAGCAGATATCTTACCATCTAGATCAGTGATCCCTGTGTTGCTCCCTGTTGGCCTGACCTCTGACCCCTCTCATTATCAATCTGCTGGTGAAGATGAAGACCATAAATGGATTTGGCTGAAGTTAACGATGTACCTCTGACTTCTGGCTTGTAACACCTGCTAACGTAATAACAGCCCACAAACGTAATACAGAGCTGCAGCTTTAAATGTAATGGTCCCGCAAACGTTAGAGCAGGTGCCGACTACACACACGGTCTAATAGCTGTTACGTACATTTGTTATGTTTGTAGGAGGGTGGACATCTTCAGCTTTTAACATTGTAAATACTTCCCACAAATGTAATACAGAAATGAATGTGGCCATTGTTGTTTGTTTACTTACACACCTGCCAATGAGTTCGAGTCAGCTCAAGGTCATTGAACGCATCAAGACCTCAAAAGAACAGCACATCACACATCCACTGAACATCCACCTCACCCCACGAGTGGAAACCTTTGGATTGTTGTTTGACACTGTTTGTTTTATGCACTGTGTTTATGCTGTTCAGACCGTCTGCTGGGAAGAGGAGTTTCCCCGTTCGGGACAATAAAGTCTAAAGTCTCATCAGAAGACATCACAGGTTTGGGGCAGAGCGGGTCAAAACGTTCCAGAAGCAGCAGCGCTCTGAGTACGTTATAAATAACTCACCGGAGCATTGTGCCCAATATACTGTAGGCTGTGCATTAACAAGTCCACCTTCTCTCTCTTTATCTTAAACACCATTCTTTGTTCTACCTTTTTAAATGTTCAGATTTCTACTCTACCGTTTTTTAATGGCTGTTTTTGTAATAATTGCTGTGTCGTCTGTTTCCGTGCTCTAATTGCTTGGACTGTGTAACCTGACAAATTGTTTGATTGGTCGATTGATTGTATTGGTTATTGAGCCACAGCTGATTGAAGTACATGCAGGTTAACAATCCTTTAATGGACGCAGATTCTCAGGTTTCACACCTCCATCTTTTCCTATCCAGTCTTTTTCCACCCTTTGTTTTCAGACTCCTCCCTTGCATCTATATTCCTTCCCTTTTCTCCTTTATCATCCCCTCTTACCTTCTTCTATCCTACCTATCCCCCCCCCCCCTTTTTCTCTCTAACATGTTCCCCCCTCTGTGCTCCTACTTCATGTCATCATTTAATAACCTGCTCCTTTGTTACCCTCTTTATCCCTCTGCCTTCTCTCTTTTCTTTACCCTTGCCCCACCTCTCTGCCCATTTGCTTTGCCTCCATCCTTCATCTCTGCCTCTTCTCTTTGACCTCCCTCCTTACTCCCTCCCTCCCCTGTGTCCGGGTCAGGGCCCAGGGGAGCGAGTATGGTCTAGCACATGTACGGGGGGCCGTGAATAGTTCTCTCAGCGGGGTGCGATTCGCTGGCCTGGCTGTGATTTTCTAATGAGCTTTGAGAAATGAGGGGAGTAGTGTTGGCGGGGGGGGTGCGAAGATGCCATATTCGGTGTTACCCTTCCTCCCCTCTTCTTCCCCCCTCCCTTCCCCCTGGTTAAAGCAGATTAATTAAAAGCTCACTCTCGCTCTCTCTCTCTCTTATCAGCGAGAGTTGAGCACTTACTGTAAGCCTCCAGGGAGGGCTCAGCGCCGGGCCGTGCAGGGTGGGCAGGGGAAAAGGGGGCGGGGAGCCTCCGGGAACGATGCTAATTCCAGCCAGTGGGATGTTGGGAAGGCTGCTTAGGAATTACCGCCGTCGGTACGTTCATCGCTGATTATCTCTGCCACTGTCTAGGAAGAGATTGTGCTCAGAGACAGACAGTCTGCTGCCTGTCACTCAGTTTGGGCTCATTTCATATTCACACCATTTTTTTTCTCCACCCGTTCTCGTCTGTTGCCTGGTAATGTGAGCCGGTTCGCCTGGAGCTGAGAGAGACTCAACGACCAGCCACAGTAATCGAAATGAAATCCTCAAACGTTATTGTGTCAGAACTAAATCCCGTAATAAAGAGGGTAATGAATATCTATAAATATTGTAAAACAGGTTGCAGGAAGCTCTTGCAGAATGCTGATGATGCCGCGCCGTGCCCTCTGTTTGGATTACAAAAGTCAGCAATTCTGTTAGAGCAGCTTTTATTAAAGTTACAATATTTATATCAGATATTTTACCTTATTTTAATACTCAAATCCTCCGTGATATCCTCAAATCCTTTTTCTGTTCCCAAAGCCTGACCATTTGTTGAATAAAGGACTTTGATTCGCCCAAGATGGCACAAAGAAAGCTCGCTTTTTATCAAGCCACCATGTTGATGCTATTAGAAATACTTCGACCTCTATTTGATGAATCATTTTTTATAATCAGATTTCCATTATAATCAGAGTTACAGATGTTTTAAGAGTCTACAGTGTTAACATCGTAAACCAAGATGGGGAACATGGCACACGTCATACCTTCTAAACTTTAATTTCTGCCCCTGTATGTCAACATCTGTCAACGACAATGTATCTCACATGTGATGTTAGCAATTAGCTTTGAGCCCTTCTGTAGCCGAGTACTCACAGTGATGCCAGCATGACTGAAGACCTGTTGGGTATCTTTTTTTTGTCTTGGTAACTTAACTTGCACGGCATGTAATTTCTACCAGTGGGATATTTTGAATCAAAATTAAAACAAAATAAATACACTTGAAGACATTGTGAGATTCCTTGTTAACATTTGAGTTGTCGATGAAAATCTACTTGGTGGCATCTGGATTAATTCAGTGGAGGTCACATTTATCAGTGTCATGTCATTTTCGATCTAGCCGGAAGTAGCGCTGGCTAACAAAAACAGTAAGCCTCCTTCCTTCTTCCCTATCCAATGGAAACATCGCACAAAAAGTAAGGGCATATGTGTTTGGTAGATTGGGTTGCCCCCATTAAAAACTTGCCAAATCTTCTCTGCCAATGCCAAACAGATCATTCTGCTGTTGACTCTTGTTTGGTTTGATTTAGTGGATTGGATTATTGAAGTCTGAATAAACATATTGGCAATTTAAAAATTTATTCATTTAACAAACTGGAGCCTCAGTAGCCACAACATCCTGGCACCTCCTCCTCATGCTGGTCACCAGCCTGGTCACACACTGCTGTGGGATGGCATCCCATTCTTCAACCAGCATTTGTCGCGAGTCAGCCAATGTGGTTGTGTTGGTCACTCTGGCATGAACAGCACGCTCAAGCTGATCCCACAAGTGTTCAATGGGGTTGAGGTCAGGACTGCAGGCCGGCCATTCCATCCTCTCCACTCCCAAATACTGGAGGTGGTCTCTGATAAACCCCGCTCTGAGAGAAAGATTTGGCAAGTTTTTAATTGGCGCAACCCACATACTCGGCTCTGCTGCTTATCCCACAAATGAAAGTTCCTTACAAATGTGGCAACAATTATAAGGGAAGACAAAGAAGCATTGGTATCTACCAAGCTTTTGTTTTTGCTTCAGTTTTTGTGCGATGTTCATTATAACTTCTTGTGCTACTCTGGAAGACGGACAACCAAATGAAACGCACCATTACTCAGAATACATTTAAGTATTTCTCAGATTTGAACATTGTAACTTAAATGCATGAAAATGTCTGAAAACAACTAAACCTATAAAACAAAAACATTTTAAATTGGAAAATACCAAAAACTGAGGTTGACACATACTTGACTCTGATCGTTTTTATCCAGTTCCTAAAATCGATCAATTTCCAACACCCCTCCTTGTAAAGATAAATGGACCAATCTATGGCCAGGCAGACAAAGTGGCAAACAGAAGTTTATTGTAAATTGTGTGAATGTTGGCCGATGAGTATCAAGATATTGTAGCACATATTTTTCCATCAGAGTTACAGTTTATTTAATATCAACAGCATGAGACTAAAATAATCCAGTGTGATTTGGGTTCATCTTTTTAGGGACTGTTTGTACTTTCCATGACATCAAAAATTCATGTAATCACATTCATTATAACCGGATTTCTTTGTTGACACAATAGAGTCAAAAGGATTTCATTAAGATTACAATAACTGCGTGATCCTCTTTGAGTCTTGTAAGTCTGGTGCTGTGAGTCGGGCTTCAGGCGACAAAACAAGGAAATGAAAATGAAGGACCATAAAACCGGTGAAGAAGTAGAAATGAATGTGAGCAGAAACAGACTCAGACGTCGTCAATGCCGAGCTGAACGATGACATGTGATCCAGTCTACAGAGTGTAAGGTTTTATTGTTGTTGAATGTCTGGACTGTCTGATTTTTGGGCTTTTTTCATTGACATATCAGTACTTTTTAAAATTCCATCCAACTTCAAGCTTATTCAGCGTTCTTGTAAGAAATTCTTGTTATTGTTGTTTTAGTGTCTGGAGTAAAATCCATTGATCTCTTGGATTGGCCCCTCGGCTCTGATACTCAATCGAGCTTTTTGAGTCAGTATTTGACTGATATCCAATACCAGGATCGGATCGTTGCATCCCTAGTCATTTACACTTGTTTTTAGTGTGTCACCTATTACCCATTTTCAAACCAACCAGCAGCAGCCATCTTGCATCTCTGGTTTAAAAAAAAAATACTCTATCACCTCTTGTGATTTACCCAAACTAAATCAGGTCAGTTTGTAAATGTCAAAACTTTTTGCTTTATTCTCACGTCAGCCTATGTTTTCTCTTCTTGCCTGTTTTCACTCTCTTTCCACTTTGCGATCCTCGCCAATCACACGGCCTCTCCCGTCACATCAAAGCTCGTCGTCCGGCCGTAAAGTAACTCTGTGGAATTCGCTGGGCGCCGTTTTCATCCTATAACAGATACAAGGAGGCTTTGAGGCAAAAAATGAAACTCCAAGACCAGAACAATCTGCAAGAGAAAATAAAACACGAGCATCAGATTAATCAGGTCCCCTCATAGAGAAACTAAAGATATAGAAACGTGTGGGTTATAACATGTAAAGTTTCAAACCGTATTGATGGTGTGTTGTTGTTTTTTTTGTGTTGCAGGTTGCAGCCGTTCGTCAGCGGACAGCCCAACAAGAAGCTCGCTTTGGAGCAGGTGAGTTCATCATCACATCTGCTCTTCGTCTCTGTCACTCGCTCCATCACGCCCCCTGCTCAATCACTTAGACCCTGATTCACCCTCCTGCTCTTAACAGAGACACACACACACACACACACACACACACACACACACACACACACACACACACACACACACACACACACAAACGTGCACCTACACTCAGTCACCCAGTCAATCACTCGGACAGATAAGTTCCCCCTCTCGCTTTTGCTCTCCAAAACACTCACTCAATTATTCACTCACTGTTGCAGTCTTATCTTCCTCACTCTGTTTAACACACACAGACTCACAATCATGAAGACACACACCAAACCGCTCCACCCTAGCCTCACTCTCACAACTGGTTTTAACTCAAAAGTATGAAAAAACGGTTAAAAGGGGCTCAATTTCTAAATTCAGCAATTAATGATGAATTTTCAACTTTTTATCTTACAGTTTGTGCTGACAAATCAAACCAGCAAAAAGCATCAACAGCTAATTATTTGGAGAAATCATAAAAACAAGAAAGCTTCCAACTAAAACATTACGGTGGCCTGTAAGGGTCAAGGGCTCGGCAACTGCTAAAACAACACATGTAGAGAAACATGCAGCGTGTTTAGAAACGCTGTACATTCAAAAGCAAATGCTAAACTCCCGAAAACAAATGCAAAGGATGAAACAAGCTGCAAAAAGAAAACAAGTGAAAAATGCTCACATTGAGAAAACGACTGCAAATAGAGAAAAGCTGCAAGTTCAGCTTTCACAACCAAAGTTCTCCAGGCCAGTAGGGGGCGCTCTGTGGAGCTGTGCAGCATTTCTGATATGCGACACCTTTTTCGAAATGTGCGTCATTCCAGCAGTTAACAAGCCTTTGACCCCTACTGGCCCCCATAAAACTTTATAAATATAACATTTAAAGTTCAGTAAAGGGTATTATGAAATTTGTAAGGTTTCAGTTAAACAGTTTTTAAAATGAAGGAACTTAGTTTGTAGTCTGTTTTTAACTGAGCGATGGGGCAACTCAGCAAAACTGGTCGACAGAAATCTGATTTTAACATGAATTAAAGTAAAATGTGAGTTAGCGCTGTTTTGTTTTCTGGTTGTTAAATCCACAGACTGTCCTGCGCTTGACTCCCAAATGAAACATATTGTGTTAGACGCGAGTAATCCTCCCCCATTACGCACAAAACAAGGAGATTGTCTGAAGAAAAATGGAGGATAAGAGAGGCTCTGTCAAATACAAATAAAAGATCTTGTGATTGACTGTACTTAAGAATTCATGGTGATTATCGCAGCCTGTCACGGTGAAAACTCAGGCTGTAAACATCCTAAAACATGAGCTCGTAATCTCTTCAGTCTTTAAGAAGTCTGGGATTATTCCAGATTTTTACTCACAATCAACAAATCTTATAAAAACACAAAGTGTGCATCAACTTTCCCGTCCAGTTTGTGACTCTCAGACGTAAGCCTATAGCTCAAGACACAAATCTACTCTTTTTAAAATGAGGTCATGAATATTTAGTTTAATCTTTAAAAAAGACAAAATAATTCACTGCAACATGGTCACTCTAGTTTTTATCACGTTACTCAAAACATGAGCAAAGTGTTTGTTACCCACCGTCAACTCCAGAGGAAATACATCAATAAATACATCAATAAACACATCAATAAAAAACATCAGTCAGTTACATTTTAAAGCAACTCTCAACATTTCTTAATTCTACATTATAATCAAACTTGTCCCTCGACTGTTTTAAAGACTTATTAAAAAAGTGACAGAGGCGTTCTGTCTCCACTTCATGAAGCTGTGACTGTGACAGTTAGACTGTGACTCCCCGTCAGCCTCGTCTTATTGCTCATTAAAAGCTGATTGCACGTTGCTGAGCTCTCCTGCAGGGCGTCGGGGGGGGCGTATAAATCTCCTCCGGGCCGTGTGAGAGGTGAGCTTCACTTTGTCTTCTGTTTGCCCTTCCTTTATTTCTCCTCCTCCTCGTCCGCTCTCCTTCTCCCTCCAGCGGCGTCGATGCTCCTAAAAACCCTTCTGACAGGCTCTTAAAAATAAACACAGTCTTAAACTTGAGCATAAAAATGTCTTAAACAGCACTTTTAGAAGCCCTCTTTTAAGCTCCCTGCAGCGACAGGCTTCTGTTGGCCGCTCGCCGGCTTTCAGGTGAATCCACAAAGAACAAGGTTAGTGGTACATTACTGCGTCCTCTCTGCGTCACTAAACCCGGTTAGACTTTGTGTCTTTGAACAGTTAATTTACAGATGTCCTCATTCTGAACATTTATAGCTGCACAGCTTTCACCAGCCATCTAAATGGAGAAATAGGCCCTTTTTCCAACTTTTCCTGCTTAATTTGATTTTAAATTGGACCCAAATTCAATCACAGGTGGCTTTACATCGTCTTCAAAGTCTTACATTTTGTTCTCTGGACTTCATATTCGCTCTTTTTTCCCCCTTCATATCTCATTTAACACATTCTTAACTGTCCTGCCTGCTTCACACCACTGCTGCTGCTGATGTGTCTTATTTCTACAAAGTGTCTTCATCTCTCTGTTCAGCAGCAAAGTTATTTCTGGGCTCCAAAGTCCTACTTTGGGTGACTGACAGTTGGAGGATTTCCAACTCCGAATGGACTTTAGACACTTTTTGCCGAACCATCAGCAGAAAAGATGAAAACTTATGTTAGAAAAAATCATTTCTTAGAGCAAAAAAGCTAAAATTACAAGAAATCAATCTTAAATGAAGAAATCTCAAGACTTCTAAGATGTAAGACATTTAAACTTCCTAAAATTCAGTGGTAGAGAGCTGAAGCTAACCTGTTTAAACATGTAGTTTATATGTTTGTTTTCATGACATCACAAAGGGCAGTAGCCCCTCCCCCAGGTGGGTGACACTCCCACACTAGGTGTTTGTTCTGCCCTCTGAGTCTGCCTTCTCACCGTAAACAATAGGACATGGAGCGAGAAAGCACCGAGTACACCCAAAGCCTTCCAGAGAGGGGGCGTGGTCAGACACAGCTCATTTACATATTTAAAGGTACAGACACAGAAACAGCCTGTTCTGATCAGGGCTGAAATAGAGGGGTTTATAGACATGATCAAATACAGGATCAGAGTGGATTTAGAACAAGAAACTTCACACACATGTTTTGAGGAGCTCTGAGAGTTATTTACACTCGTTGAAGAGGAGGTGACCTTTAATAAAGAAAACATCAAGGACCGATTAGTTGTATCCTCTGAATATTGATACACGTCAGTCCAATAATTAAAACATGCTCGTATAGAAACAAATGCATTCCTTGTTCTCTTCATTTTCCCATCATAGATAGCTTAAGTACACCTTCTTTATTAACATCTACACCTATCCTCTTCTCTGTAAACTGACCAAAGACAGCCTTCCTGAAGTGAAACTATTCCACCAAAATCTGACAGAGCTTCACTCTGAAACAAGCCGAGTATATTTGCTCTAAACCAGTTGATGGAGACGCGCCTAAGTGTTATTTCTTTTTGGCAAAACATGTCAAAAGGGCTGCTTGAAATTCCCTCAACAATTAAAAGGAATGATGACTAATAAAGACTCCTCTGCCTTCACTGCATTTCCTCTTCTCCCACATCACCCCTCCATCCACCTCCTGCTGCTTTTCTCCTTTTTAAAATCTCACTCTTTCCTCCTCCCTCATTTCATTTCATGATTATTCTCTTTGAGTTCTCCACATTTCTTCCTACTCCCTCTCCTCCTCTGTTCCCGCTCATGCCTCGCTCTGCTGCCGTCCTCCCTTTCCCATCACTCTCCTCCTTTTATACTTCCACTCCTCCTCCACATTCCTGACAATCCCTCCATCTCTCCCCTCCTTTTCCTCCTCCTCCCTCCTCCTCTCTTATTCTTTGTCTCTCCCTGTGCCAGTTGGCAGCTCTGAATGAAAGCTCTCAGGGTTCCTCGGGCTCTGTCAACCAGGAAGAAAACATTACCACGAGGGGCCGGGTCAACAAGGCTTGTTACTTAGCAACCCCCTCACCTTCCCCTGGGAACTGAAAGCAAATGGTCGCCGCCATTGGCTGAGGCAGCTCCTCGCTCTCGGCTCTCCTGTTATGTAATGTTGCCGTTTCATTGCAGTAACAGAAGCAGATTGAAAAGAGATATCTGGGCCTCGGGTGTCTCACTGCCAAGCTCTCTTTGATTGACTTCATCCTCCTTCGCTAACCCGCAATTAGTCTTTACATTTTTTCAAAGAAGCCAGAGAGGATATGATCGCTTTTACGAGACACAGAAGAAGAAACAAGTTGATTTCTTCCAGTTGAAAGCGACCCAGCTGCCTCCTGATGCCCTCTCCTCTCCTCTCCTCTCCCTCTCTTCGTCTTCTGCTCCCTTGAACCAAAATTAATCTGACACTCCGGCCGATGGAGGGAGCAGACGCAGCGGTCGAAGATGTGGGCAATTTTGAAAAAGGGGCTTAGAAATTCGAAAAAAGGTTGATGGGGTCACGGCAGAGGGGCTTTGAACTGCAGACAGTCGCTCTGGCGTTTGCAGCTTTAGTCTGCTTATGCAAGCAATAGTGTTGGCAATTGACGGCTGAGTGTATTTGAAGTTGAGTTCTTTGGAAAGCTGTCAGGCCGGGCCGGCGGTAAAAACACATGACGTGCAGAGTTTTCAGCCTGTTCTGTGGAAACGCAGTGACCTCCTCGCTCACCCCGATAAAGTAGGTCTTAACTGACAGGCTGAAAGAGCTCGTATTATCAGCGGGAGAACAGACGCGCGCTGATGCTTATATGTGTAAGGTGTGAGAACAAACAGATTGAGTACGAGCCTTTTAAGTAATTAGAGACTTAAAGGTCTTTTCATTTTCACTGGATGGCATTTTGAAAAACAATCTATAGACATTTATTTGTACTCAACCTTTTCAACGAGGTAATTCAGCGTGTTACATAACACAAACACAAAAGGCATTAAGACACGAGCTAAAAACAACCACAGGGCAATATAAAGCGAGACTACAAAACGCGGGCGAACATAGGATTTAAAGGATTAAGTCAAAACAGAAGATTAAAATAAGCTCAAATAGAATAAGACTACAAGATTAAACAGTGTAATAAAAATGACAGAGCAGCTACAGTGCAGCGCAGCGCATGAAGGAATAATCCCAAATATAGTGGAATAACATGCAGTGGGAAACGGTCTTAAACCCTGATTTAGTTTTTCAGGGGAGTTCAGATTTGAGGGGCAGGAAAGTGTTGCTTCTTCAGTTTGGGACACAAAGCAGATCCTTCTCCTGGGGTTGGTTCATGTGAGACTTTAAAAGCAAACGTTGCAGAGCGCTGATAGCCTAGCGGTCATGTCGCTCGCCCCATGTACGGAGGCTGGAGTCCTCGTCGCAGCGGCTGTAGGTTTGAATCCGACCTCGGCTCTTTGCTGCATGTCACCCCCCCCACTCTCTCCTCCCAACACTTCCTGTCTCTCTTCACTTAGCCAATAAATCAAACATTGCAATGTCAGACCTTTAAATGACAATGTAAAAATGCTACAAGCTGCAATTTAAATATAACAAGACTCAAACCACTGTGGAGAAAAGGTTTAATCTCAGGACTGATATCATGCTAATCAGCTGTTTCCTTTGTGTGATTGCAGCACACAGATTTCTGAATGTGGTTTTATTAATCTATGATAGAAAAAAATCTATCTAGTCAATCTGTTCCCTTTTCAAATTCCAACAAATTTTATCAATTGCCATAGACCCAAACACCCTTGAATGCAACAACCAATCGGAGTAGCGAGATGCTTTAGCAGTAGGCTGCTAAGTTGTGTAGCCATCCAATAGAGGTCAACAGTGACCGCCCACTTTTCCCCGTTCAAATCCTCCCGTGACCTTTCAGAATATCAAAAGTTTTAATCCTGGAACCAGGCCAACCGGCTCTTCAAATACTCAAAGATGCAAGTCTGAGCACAGAACTACACATCCCACAATGCATTGCAATTCCAACGAGATCCAATAAACAATAGCTAATTTGCTCATTTGTTAATTGCTATGTTATAACTTCTGGGAGCTGCGGTGGTAGCAGCCGACAGCCGACAGTTAGCAGGAGTGCTAGGTAAACGTTTCCATGGTAACAGCGGGCTCCACCAATCAGAGACGTCGCTGTGACGCTAACATATATCTGTGATTCTTTCATTGAGACCACAAACATGTCAGGAGGTGATCAGGTAGGTAGTCAGAGCCCCCCCCCCTTCTAAAATGAAAAAGAGCCTCTTGTGAGTCATATCTGGATCAGGGTCATAACTTCATTCAACAGGAACACGATGAGCGTGAATAAACTCACAACTTTCTGTGATTTATATTGCTTGTCGGGGTTGTCGTTTTGAAAACGTAAAGAAATGGTTGAAAAACAAGCGTTCATCTAGGCTGCTGTTTGCACACAGTAAATTTAGCCCTTCAGTCGTTCCATGCTCGAGTAGCCCCAGGCTATCGAGTGTCTACATCCTCACACCCATAAAAACCTCCTCTGAGCGCTGGTTTCCTGCACGTTCATGTCGCGCTCTCGCTCCTAACAAGCGGTCCTCTCGTTAAAGCCCTCAGCGTGAATACTCCACAGTTTGAGTGTCAGCGTCGGCCATGCAACAGGATATTTGTTGCGCTACATAATCTGTGTGTAAATACGATTTCCTAACAGCTCACACAGGACACAAACACATCCTGCTCGTCCTCCTTCACGACTTTATCTCGGCTAACAGACCGTCATCTTGACCCATTTAACAGCTCTCACCTACTCATTAGTCTGGAGCAGCTTCTCATGTTTTCTTTTTAATTAATGTGTTACGTGCTCAACAGCTCTTTCACAGCCCGATGAAGTTATACTGACTGCTCTGATGGGAAAGGGGAAGCAGATATTTTATGCTTATGCGGGTAGATATTTTAAAATCTGAGGCTAAAAAATAACAGGAAGAAAAAGGTGGGAGAGTTGGAGTCAGAACAGGAATCGATGTGCAAAGGAGCAGAAGAAGGAAGGATGTGGGTAGAATAAAAAGAGAGGCGAAATAGAGGAAGCATGAAATAAAAGAAAGGTGGGAGGAAAGGAAGGAGGAGGAAATGAAAGGCAAATTGGAGGGAGAGATGGCAGGAGGAGGAAGGCCCTCAGCGGGGGACTCCAACAGGCTGTTGCTGAGGAGAACAGAAATATCTCCCCGTCACACTGTGGACCCTCCACCTGCTTCTCCTCCGGCTTTATAATTAGCCCGGGCTGAAAGGAAAAGTGATAACACGCAGGTTTTCCTTTCAGGCTCTGCAGAAGAAGAAAAAAAAACTGAAGATGACGGCTGAAAATTCAGATTTATTTTATTTAAGCTGAGAAATCAGACAGAAGACAAACCATGTGCTGTCTTACATGAAGATGTTTTATTAGATTCTTCAGGTGGAAAAATCAGAGAGAAAAATGAACTCTTCCACACCACGCACGCCCGTCTTCCCCCCCCGGTGGAATAGTTTGTTTACCTTATGATATCCGCACAGTTCATCACTACGCAAAATAAACAGAGCTCAGATTGAAATAGAGAAGGTGTTCTTCACAATGAGATCTCTGTACTCCGAGGGGAAATTAGCTTTGTCCTACAGCTGTACGGTTTGAAAAACAGATCGTCTGGCGTCGGTTGTCGTGAAGAGCAACAAGTACATAGAATAGATTTGATCCATAAAGATGCAGGATATATTGTTTATGTTGTCTTACATCTTGTCTGATTGTTACATCACCACATCTCAACAGTGTGACCTCCATTCTTAATTCATCAAAAGGGGATTTTTTTTGGCTTGATTGACATAAAAACACTCCTGATTGAGTGATCAGAACAAGAAAAACTATTATAAAAACACTTCTTTCACACCGACCAACCAAAATCAAGAAGGGGCGGGACTTCCTGTATCAGCTTTGTCAACAACAATGAGGGAGGACTGGGTTTCCATGTTGATGTTTCCTTAAATAATGGAAACGATTAAGCGCACAGAGCGATCCAAAACAGACATAACGGTCACTACCCAGAGTAGCAGAGGTTAACTTTCGTAACCTAGCAACACTTGGCGCTAGTGAGAAGCGCTCTGAGGTTATGAGCGTTGTGGCGCTAAAGGAGGAGGATCCAGCATTGGTAGATGAATGAGCACTCATGATGTCATAATTAGAAAACAATTTCCCGAAACCAGCTGTTACGTTCGCATCACATCAGAAGGTTTCCATAGTAACAGCCCTCTCAACAGCTGCTACTTTTAACAGCTAACCTCTCGCTGATCAAACAGAGACTCTGAATGAATAGATTTATTTTTTCTTTCGAGCCTTAAAGGAGCAGTATGTAACTCTGACACCTAGTGGTTAGAGTGGGTACTGCAGTCCAAATTCAAAACATTTAAGAGGGCCCTCCCCCCCCTCCTCTTTAGAGTTGATGCTCACTCAGGTCACCATGTGGTGGACTCTGAAGCTTCAGTGTTTATCCAGCTCTGCATGGGTCTGTAAACCTTTCTGTGTTCTAACCTCTCTCCATTTTTCAAAAGCATCTCCAATATTGATCCTAGTTTGAGCACGTTTCTGCTCGTGGAGCTTATTAGAAACATGCAGAGGCTTTTTAGGTCGGGTACAATCACTTCTATCTGAACCACTTCTCTTGACCGCTTCCATCGCTGCAACACCTGTTGGTCTGATAACTGCTCTCATATCTGACAAACTGAGGGGCATCCAAAACGGGTTGTGAGGGCGTGCCTACCTTCTCTGGTCCAAACAAATCCAGAGCATTCAGGAGCAGAATCTAAAGTTAGAAGGAGGACATACTGGCTGCTGCATTGTTGTCAGAGAAGCCAGCACTTCAACATAGCATGTTTCCTTAATGTCTGATCAGATAGTGAGGTCACTGCATCATTTCAGTAAATATCTTATATAACAGACCTTTAAAGCACAGTTTTTCAGTGTGTATGTTCAGAAGCTATATTTGTGTTATATTTCAATTTTCTGCTCTGGTTCGGCTTCTTTTGTGAGAAAACCAAACCCTCGTTCTCCCTGTTATTTTCTCTGACGTTTGTTCTCTTATTGTTTCCACTATTGGAAAAATGGCCTCCCATCTGTCCTCTCCCACCTCTCCCGCAGTGGGTGATGTTTTATTACACCAGTAGTTTACTCTCTGTGTCTGCTGCCGACAAGCTGCCATCGTTTTCATCCTCTGTCAGAGTGCTTGTTTTTCCACATCAAAAAAAAAAACTGCTCCATTTTTGACTCCCAGCATGCAACTGGAAAGACTCTCTCCCGGTGAACGATTCTCTTGCAGTTGCCTGTGGGGGCGTGAATGTCGTCATGTTTATGTGTGAACATTTGACAGCTCAGTTAAGACAATGTGAGGAGGTGAAATGCAAAAAAAAAAGCGCTCTAATTATAGTTTTGCCCCGGCGTTACCCTCAAAGCTTCATTTTTAATTTTACGGGCTTCTTATGAACTTTGAAGGGGTTCTTTGCCCGGAGGCGCTGGCTCATTACTGACCCTTTTGATGATTCCCTAGAAACTCTGCAGATTTCCCTAAGTGGAAGTGGAATCCTAAATAAAGACAGTAAAGTAATGGAAGATGAAAAAAGGCTCTGGTCACGCTCTGATGCTGTATTAGTCAAATGTAGAGATGCTGCATGAGATAACAGACCCCCCCCCCGCCCCCCTCGGTGTTCCCTATAGCTGACCCAACCCTCCTATACTACACTGTGTTTATTATTTTCATCATTTTAAAGGAAGTGGGACATATGAGCTCACGCCTTGTTTAGATTTCCCCTGGCACCACGTGATTCACGCAGAGAAAAAATATTAAAAATCATCTTACAGCTATATTTCCCTTTCGTCCAGGTTGCCAACTCCAACCCCCTGCCGGTGCCCGTGGGAGCCCCCGCCAGCAGTGTATTGGTGGAGAGCGGGCCGGTTGTCTATGATGATGCAGCCGCTGATGAGGAAGAGGAAGACGAGGAGGAGGCTTGTGTCAGCGCCATGAACCTGATGGGCAGCGACGGTCAGTAAAAACAAACATCAGCTGATGTCTCTGTCAGGACCGAGCAGCTCAGGGAAAGAAGATTCTTACAAATTATTTAAAAAGTTAAAAATCATCTTAAAAGCTGAAATACTCTCAGCTCTCTTGAACTTGAAATTCTTTTCAGGCTTCTCTTCTTGATTTGAAAGTTTGAATGTCGTTGACACTCTGGTGTCACGGCGGCAGAGTTCTTTGTCACTCGCAGTGTCTTGACTGTGAAATAGCCCCGAGTCTCCCCTTTTTTTTTAATGAATCTGCCACTCTGGGTCGCGGCTCTGTTTCGGCGCTCCGACTCCCGCTACGTTTTTAATGAGCCCTCGCTAAGATCGAATTTCTCCACTTTACGTCTCTGCCTGTTAAACTTTAAGGTCCCTGACTCCGCCGCAGTAAAAAGTCCTGAGCTGTTTAATTGATTCCTGTAGGGGAGCTCTTTAGTTTTTACTCAAGCCCCCCCTCCCCTTCAAGGTGAGGTCGAAGGTCAGGGTCAGTCTCAGAGCGGCACCTCTGGAGCTGCTGGAGAGTCGAGGACAGCGGAGCAGACTCTGGAGATGAAACCAGAGTCAGTCAGCGAGGTGATGGACGATGTCTCTGATCCTCCTGCAGAGACTGAAGCGACACTTTACATGTTGCCCGTCTGTGGTTAACTGTTCACTGCTCGGTGCTCATCAGTTAGTCACAAATCTCAGAGCGTTTCTGTGGAAGCGGAGCATGTTTACCTTTAAAGGTACAAGAAAATTAACTCAGACATTAAAATCCAACAACAAGTTTTTGGCTCTGGAGACTATAATGCTCACTTTTCTCACCCAGTGTTAAAGAATGAAAGAATGGACCTTCCAGTAGCGGGCATACCAGCATAGGAGAGTGGATATAGTAGAAAACCAGGGACAGAACTAGAGATGAACCACTCTTCACTTTGTCTTCAGTAGTTCTAAAGTGGGTCTAAACCCTCCCTTTGTGTCTCTCACTCTCCAGATTACGGCTTCGAAGGAGATTACGACTATTGACTCCAGCGAGGATCTTTGACTCCAGACTTTGGACCATTTTGAATCCTGAAGCATTTCAACATGTTTACATCCAGGGATACAAACAGACTGCTGCTACATAACGAGGCACTTCCATCAGGGACGACAAAAAACAAAAAGACAAAAAAAAAAATCAAACTCCTTGAACCTCTCTACGTCAAACGAGGTCTTAACATGGGAGAATGTGCTGCTTGAAAACGGACAGAGGTGCAGAAGTGGACACTTTGGGAACAAGTTTGTTTAACTTTAAAGCATGTGGTGACGATACTGCAGACGGAGTGGTTACATTAAGAGATCCGACTTCACTCAACGTGTTCCTACAACTGTTTCATCAACATTCAAATGACACATTTCAGAGTGGATTAGGACCCGAACTCACCGTCATGTGTTCATCTGAGTGCAGCTCAGAGAACAGTTAGCACACATAACTAATATATTACACGCTCGCCGACTCGTTGTTTGCTGTGATGCGTCCTCTAAAGCAGTGGTCTCACCTGGTCTCGCCTCAGGACCCACCATCAACTCCTTCATGAAAATGAAAAAAAACCTGAATTTCTGGTCAATTATTTTTTATCAACCAATCAGATTTATTGAATAAAAAATGGTAGTTTGGATCTCAGATGGGACAAAACGTGACGGGACAAAGAGAAGGAACATGTTTTTAAGAGCGTTTCATAGACTTTCTTTTCTTCCCAGTCACATGTTCACGACCCACTGAAAACAGCTCCCCGACCCACTTTTGGGTCCCGACCCACCAGTTGAGAACCACTGCTTTAAAGAACAAATATTTCCTCTCAGGGGGGTTTATAAAAAAAAAAAAAGAATCAGGTTTAGACGAATGAAAGGTTGAACAAAAACGTGTTATCCATAAATCTTCACTCTGCATTCAGAACACTCGAGTACTTAACGACATACGACTTCCCTGAGGGACTCCCCTGAGGACTTCTTCTTCTGTGACGATGAACTCTACTTCAAACAGGCTTATAAAATAATCAGGTAGCGTGACGTCAATCACCAGTCAGTGTTTCCAGTGATGTTGGAGTCATTTCGACCTGCGCTGCTCTGACTCGTATCGATGCCTCAGGTGATGAGTGGAGCGACGCACGCCGTCCGCTCGGCTAAAGCCAAAGTATTACAGATGTTGCCTTTGAACGACGCGTGGCTGAGAATAGTTCGATTTTTAATCCCGGTTCAAGTTTGTTTTTGGGAAGATGATGATTTGATGATTCTGTTCAAATCATTTCAGTTTGAGTTTTTCTTAACCATGTGTGTTTTTTTTGGTGGGATTGATTCTTTAGTGTTAATTTATGAGATTTGTGTTTTCTGATTCATGTGATGTAATCTTCTCTATTCGCTGTAACAGGCCACAGCTGGGATGTAAATACTTTCTCTGCAATATTTTCTTTTCCATCGGACCGAGAGAGGCCAAAGAGAGAACAGATTTATTTTCTATTTAAGCTTTTATGATATTTTTCTGTTTGGAGAAGAACTATTTTTTTTGGGGGGGGGAGGGAGAAACAGACCGGTGCCTTTTCCTCCACACATCAGTATTTAATGAGTATATCAGTATTTAATGAGGGCGTCGTGTTTGACCTCGACCTCCTCAGTGTCGCTGCTATAAATCCACAACGTTACATCTGCATTCTGTTGTGTGTGTTCGCTGCTACAGTAAACATTTCACTACACGGGAAGAACTTTTGCTTGTGTGTTTATTTTTTTCCAAGAAAGCCTTTCCAAATGTCTTTTTCCATCCATTATCTATACCGCTTTTCCCGTTCAGGGTCGCTGAAGCTGACCCCAGCTGTCGTTGGGCGAGAGGCGGGGTTACAACCTGGACTGAACGCCAGTCAATCACAGGGCACAATAGACTCACTGAATCCTCACCACGGGGCGCTACAGATGTCATGTTAGACTCATTTTCAGCTTGTTTTTTTTCATGTTTCAGGTTCTTCTGACTTCTGTTACGATCAGCTCTTGTTCTCTTAAGATGGGGGGGGGTTTAATAATCCCTGCGGCTCTCCTCTTTATCACCAGGTTTGTTGTTCTTTGTATAACATTGAACTCTACCTGAACTATTCACGCACGCAGCATCAGCTCTATCCGTGACCCGACACCATCCACCATCAGCAACAACGAGGCGTCTGGTCTGAGGAGACGTCCCGCCCCGTCCTGCTGGATCGTTTAACGCCTGTACAGTGTTACAGTGTTCACAGGTTATTGTTTGTTTCCAGAGAGATTCGGTGTCTACGGGTGTGTGAAGAGATTTTATTGAAAGACGAGTCAGGGTGGGAGGAAACCTGAGACTGAGGAGGTGCTGACGTCAGGTGATTAATGGCGAGCCTTCACACGCAACACGTCTCCTTGGTGGGGCGATCGGATCTCAGGAGCTGTGAGGAGAGCTTTCATTTGGAAGAGCCTTCAGGAATCTTTGTTAGTGATGTCTTTATCCAACTCTCTTCTGATGGTTCAGGTTTGTGCTTCATCAGCGAACACGATCAATGTTTGATAGAACCTCCATTTATTTCTACACCAAAGTGTATCCATAGAGACTGAAGCCGACAACATTCAAACTACCAGGTGTCGAAAAAAAATGAGTAACAGCACGCGACGCGAACGACGATGACAGCGACAAAAAAAAGACTCTGTCTCTCTCTCTCTCTCTCTCTCTCTCTTTCTCTCTCTCTCTGTCTCTTTCTCTCTCACTCTCTCTTTCTCTCTGTCTCTCTCCCTCTCTCCCTCTCTCTCTCTCTCTTTCTCTCTCTCTCTGTCTCTTTCTCTCTCACTCTCTCTTTCTCTCTGTCTCTCTCCCTCTCTCCCTCTCTCTCTCTCTCTTTCTCTCTCTCTCTGTCTCTTTCTCTCTCACTCTCTCTTTCTCTCTGTCTCTCTCTCTCTCTCTCTTTCTCTCTCTCTCTGTCTCTTTCTCTCTCACTCTCTCTTTCTCTCTGTCTCTCTCCCTCTCTCCCTCTCTCTCTCTCTCTTTCTCTCTCTCTCTGTCTCTCTCTGTCTCTCTCTCTTTCTCTCTCTCTCACTCTCTTTCTCTCTCTCTCACTCGCTCTCTCTCTCACTCTCTTTCTCTCTCACTCTCTCTCTTTCTCTCACTCTTACTCTCTCACTCTCACTCTCTCTCTCACTCTCTCTCTCGCTCTCACTCTCTTTCTCTCCCTCTCTCTCACTCTCACGCTTACTCACTCTCTCTCTCTCTCACTCTCACGCTTACTCGCTCTCTCTCTCACTCTCTTTCTCTCTCACTCTCACTCTCTCTCTCTCACTCTCTCTCTCTTTCTCTCCCTCTCTCTCACTCTCACTCTCACTCACTCTCTCACTCTCTCTCCAAAACCAAAGTTTGTCAATGAAAGGAAAATGAAGAGGAATTATCTGTCTGGGAGTGAAAACAGAGATTTCTGCCTGCTGCCTATTGGAGCTGCCACTGACTCTATCCACTGTCCTGTCTCTAAATAAAGGCATAAAAAAAAAAACTAAATAAACATAAAGAAAATAAAAACGTCCCGACCTTTAACTGTCGCTCGGTTTTAAAAATGTCGAAAAATAAGAAATCCAAAAAGATTGAATTACTGTGACCGGTTCATCTGAAGTGCAGCTAAATTAGTCCTATTAACAGATTTAAGAGTCGGCGTGAAAATGTCATGAGTAAGCCTTTCGCTGTCTCAGGGAATTATTGTCCCTTCATACACGCCAAACATCTGAACCCGACTTGAAACAAAACGACACCGCCGCCGCCGCCGCCGCCGCCGCCGCCGCCTCAGGCCCTTCAGAACAAAAAGACCGAAGAAAACTATTAAATTACACTCCGAGTGACCCTCACATGGTGTCCCCTTTTCACGTCGACTTTACCCCTAACACGGTCGTGGAAAATAATTTCATGCTTTATGATGCTGTGTAATTGTGCTGTCAGGTCAGCTTTCCACCCGCCCCCCCCCCCCTCCTCGCCGTGCTCGCTCCCTCCCCTCCCCCTCAGGGTCGACTGTACCTACACAGCTCTCCCTCCTTCACCCAGAAGTTTCTCTGAAAGTTAATCTAAAGAACTTTTTACTGTAACCTTTACGGAGCAGCCGAGGGGTCGGAGGGAGGAGTGAGGGGAAAGTTGGCTGTTTCAGTTTCGCAGTGTTTGTGACCTCGCCGCCCTTCCTCAGCTAGAGAGAGAGCCACAGGCGAAAGGATTCCTTCCGCCTGTTAAAAATGTCCTCTATGCAAGTTGATTAAACAGGAGTCGCTGCCTTTTTCATGCAGAGCCAGTTTTTTTATTTTTTTTATTATTATTTGGCTCCCAGCGACACTGTGAGGAAAAAGTCTGGATCTAAAAAGAGAAGCGAGCTCTTCTTCTCTTCCTCCTTCCCTTCACTTCCTCTCCTCGCCTCCTGCTTCCTTTTTCAGTCACAACAAAGAAAAAAAAAAAGATGTATGCTCTGTTTTTTTTTTTGTTTTTTTTCCTGAGGTCTTCTTTCTTTCTCTCCATCTTTTCATTGCCGTCCATCCACCCAAAAATAATCCCCCGTTTTCTCTTCTCTTCCAGCATCCTCCATCTTTTTAGTCCCGCTCTCTCCGCCATCAGCTTCAGTCTTTGAAACTTGTTCTTTTTTTCCCTTTTCCAAAAATATATCCTCATTTGATCTCTCTCTCTCTCTCTCTCTCTCTCTCTCTCTCTCCTTGAGGGCAGTCACCCACACAACAAAATAAATCTGTGCATCAAAGTAAATATACGACCCAGCAGCTGCTCGCAGGGCTAGCTTTTTTAGCTCATCTTTTAGATTTAGGGAGCATCAGGCAACTATTTTCACGGTTTTCGGTGTAGCCTACAGTGACAAATAAAAAGCTTCGAGCTGTGACTTTCTTTCAGTTCTGCCATTTTTTTACCATCCGACCTCAGACATGAAAAGCGAGGACAGAGTTGGTGATCAGTAACGGCGCAAAGGACCAGAAAACCGCTTCTGAAAGCACCACCAGGTCCTGATGCCTGATTCTCTCTCTCTCTCTCTCTCTCTCCCCCCCCCCCTCATGTATTATTTCCTCTCCGTCCTCCCTCTGACAGCTGCAGTTTAGCCGCTGTGCTAGCTTCTCCCCGGAGGCTGTGTGTGTGTTTCTGTGTGTGTGTTTG